TAACTTTTTGTTTGGGGTAGTGTGGAATATCAGCATCTTGATTGCGTCATTATTTTCTGTTCGAGTTACATGTGCTATACATTTTAGTTGTCGCTGCTCTTGGTAGTCCTTAGGTGATGTGATTTCTGTTATTTGGTACAGTTCCTTGTAGACAGGCACTACAGATTTTATGTTTGAAAAAGGATGATCTTTACCAAGACACTCAGACTTCACTCGCTGAAAGCCTTCTTAAACCATTGATCTTAGGAAGCGCTTGTGTACAGCTGTCAGTTTAGATATTTCTGAACGGGTTTCACACCATATATGACCTCCATATGAAAGGCTGACGAGTTTATTTCAAAATATGACTCAGGTTTCCATGTTGATGTGATCAACTTAAGTTCTTTCGTTTTTGCATGATTATTCTTATACAACAGACAATATAATTTTTTTTCTTATAACAATAATAAAAGTAAATATAAATTGTCCCAATTTTGATATCCTTTGCTTAATGTCATCAGTGGGATTTTATCTAAAAGACCGTTTTAAAGTAATCACCTTAAGTTTCTTTCTCTGCTTGATTGTTCTTATACGAAAGACACTAAATAACAAAATAGCAAAGAATGTAAATTATTTCAATTTTATATCTTAATTTTATCCGTTGGTTATTGTTATCTAAATGATCCAATCTCCAAAATGAGCATCTGAAGCGGTTTACTCACTACACAATTGTACGACACTGTTCGATAGACAATATACATTTCTCTAAATTTAATAACCAATGAAAAATCGTTGCAATATTTCTGTCCTTATCGATTGGCTATTGTTAGCCAAAACGGCGCTTCTCTACCTTTGCTTCCTGCTGGTCCAGTTTCGGTGCCAAAATAAATTTCAGGCCCATATCAGCGCAAATAAAAATCCCACGTAACAGGAAATACTTTTTATTTACAAAAGTAAAACGTAATAAAAAAAAAAAAAAAAAAAAAAAAAAAAAAACGTAAATCCTGATTTATGCTTACACTGCTTCTCGTGTCTATCAGCTTCTCAAGAAAACTTTGAAGCCTTGGTTCAACTTCAGGTGTAAATTTCCTTTTATCAATCTGCACTTCCAGACCTATTATAAAAATTTCTCGGACCTAAGTTGAGAATCAGGGATTTAAAAGAGAGTCCCAAAGTAACAACAATAAGGGTCTTCATCTCTTAGTCTAACAGGTAATAAGTTGTCTACCAACGCGCATTATTTAGCAAGTTGGTATCGGAGACGAATTCTTAAAATGTATATTCGGTGTTCACTGGATAATCCACGATAGTGGTCTTTTGCCAGACTAAGCTGGGCTTTAAAAAAATAAACATTCTATAAGAAAGAATAAATGTTTTGAGTGCCAGATCCAATCAAAATGACTAGAAATTGAAAATGGGACGAAATTTATCGCTGTATCCTGTATAGAATTTCGGTTAAGCCTATGATTGAAAACAAGTTGAAAAATAAATAAATAAATAAATAAATAAAAAATACATCTTCAGAGAAAATCTATTTCTTTCACTTGCATCCAATTAAGCGCTTTTTCTTTAAAATATTTTTGGATGTAACATTTCGCTAACAAATCTATCAATCTCTCAACGTCGAATTTTCTTTATATGGATCGATCGACAAAATACCCTTTCCTCATCGATCTTATTCTCTTTATAAGTATGTGTCAGTCGGTTCATATTTATCTATCTTGATGTACCATCAAGGAGTTTGTAGCCTAATGATGAAAAGCGACGTTTTGTTTTTGATTTTCTTTTTATACAGCAAATTTTAATTTTTCTGCTATATTCTTGCATTTTATTCAGTTGTGAATATTATTCGCTTGGAACATTATATAATGAACATTTTATATCAAAATTCAACACTGTTCCATGGTACGGACCTTTGGATATTCACTTATCTGTATGTGTTAGGTGTGAGTAAAAGATTTTTCTTTTCTTTTTTTGTGTTTTGGAAAAAAATACTGGATACTAATGTACATTCAGTCTCTGAAGATACTGCGCATATCGACACACATGTGTGTGTGTATGCATCCGATGCGCTTGGAGGAATTTGAACAGGCTGAGCCATCTGTTAAATCCCGAATCGTTTTTCGTGTCTCGCCAAATCACTCCAAAAGGAAATTACGTAGTTCATGTTCGATCATTTTCTTAGTTTCTATGAGAAAGCCAAATAGGCATCTTAAGTGCCACAAACCTTTTTAGTAGCACACTGAACACACACATTCTAAACATATTGAAGGCAGCAATGCTTAGTCTAAACAGGTTTTATTAAATAGAACAAGACGAGGAATGTCTAAGTCTTTGGGCGTTTTTCTAATAGTGTCGAAGAAATCATTTGATCTCAAATGGTATTAACATTTCGGGAATTTCTTTCTTTTTACAAGTCAACATGGAGTGTTGATTCCTCTGTCGTCCATATTGCTTATATATTTTAATATTCCAGCAAATATTTATTGAATATGTTTTAAAAATCAGCGCCGAGTTCGAAACTCCAACCTATAAACTTTGACAGTTACAAAGGAAACAATATATTTGTGGTAACTTTTATATATTGATCACCTTTGCTTTCTTTAGAACTCCATCTGGATACGATTCAGTTAACTGAAATTACGGGATTTTGTATGAAAATGCTTTTCTTTATGGAGTTTGTTTCACTTGATTTCCTTCCTTTCGGAAAATTTTCATGTCGGCGAAAGAAATTTGACCTTCGATATTCAACTTCAAGTTTAAAATTGTACTCTTGATTTTTTTTTCTGCCCGTTTATGTAAATATGACTGCGAAAATATCAAGATTCTGAGCTATTGTTATAAAGTAGTAAGGGCAGGAATTTATTAAATTCGAAATAATTACCAATGATTTTATTGGTAGTGTTGTCTTTTTTTTTTTATTCCTTTACTATTTTTAGATTTTTTTTTATGTCAGTTTTTATTCCAGTTGAATTTCTTTCCGCCATGGCATCGTACCACAACGGTTTTGATTAAAACAATAAATATTAGCATAAAAAGATGTAGAAGCAGAAATCAGAGAAAACAGTAGGTGTAATCAATTCATAAGTTAAATTGAATACCAGCGGTCATAAATCTTGGCACAAGGTCAAGGACAAAGTGGCTTTTTTTTTTAAATTACCTGTCACTTCTTAACCCTTATTCTCGATCTCACTAACCTTTTGAACCCTGTGTTCCTGAACAATTTTAACATTTCTGCCCGAACTCCGAGTTAAAATTCGCAAATAATTGGTATGTAATGTTTCACGGTAGATATAAAAATAGTTACAAGTGTTTACTCACCGTTCAACCGGTGACTGGGCATTAAGTCATTTTTCTCTACCACCGGTAAAGCAGTGGTCAGAGCTCAAAGAGCTAAAAATTAATCTCAGAAAATGAACGGCATAATAGAACAAAGAAAATTACATTATTTTTTTTTTTTGCGAAAAATTTAACCGTATCTTCTTAGTCTTAAATAATTTCCGTTTATCAAATTTGTACTTCAAAAACAAATTACATTTTATTCAATTATATATCCAACATTATTTGCAAGGATTCGTTGTCACTTATCAGGCAGACCTTGGAGACATTTTTAAGTAAAATTCCACATGTGAAAAATTTTCAACGGAATCTTGAATCTGACTTTCATTAGATAAAGCTTTCTCTATCAAAGCGTTTTGCAGCGATCGAAAAGTAATAATTGATTGGGGTAAGATCAGGTTAACAGGTGGGGGTAAGAAAACAGACCAACCTAATTCCCAAATTCTTGCTGTATACGGCCATGCATTGTCACGAGAGAGTACGACATTTTGCCTATTGACAATCGCAGGTCGCTTTTCGACCAAATCTTTTTGGACACATCGCAGCTGACGGACGCATAAATATACATTTAGTGTTTCACTTCGTTTTAAGAACTTTAAATGAATAAAACCCCGATAATCCGACTCACGCACAAAATTACCTTTCTCCTATGGAACTCAGCATTTGCATCGGTTGTGAAACTGTATCCTTATCAAGCCACTAACTTTTGTGTAGATTGCATGTAATCTAATTTACAACACCCGTTATATATTTAATGAATAGCTAGATAGGAGGATACCTTCGTTATTAAAATTAGTTCCATAAAACGGAACTTTTTAAAAAAAAATTATTTCATAACCAAGCAAGGCGATAAATGCCACTAGGTCGCAAGGCGTAACTGGGAGTGAAAGAGAATGAGAAGAAAGGACAATAAAAGAACAGGTTTTGGAAGACAGAATATGGCAATTGGCATTGCATTTAGATTTTTGAAGATTGTAGGCGAGAGGGAAACAAGAAACGGAAAGGAGCTCCACAGGCAAGAAAAACTATTAGAATGGAAAATACGGTAGCGTCTAAGGAGTTCAAAAATAAAACAGTCAGAATTAATTGCTAATCTAGTAGCACGATTAGATTCATAGATTTATGACTTGTCTTGTCTTAATAGATTCTAGAGTTCAGGTTTTTATTTTATGCATATTGAAGCTTACCGTAATTTTCCAACCGGGGCAATTTTCAAACTTACCAATTTTACATACATATAATTTCTACATTATTTTGTCAAAGAAACACAGATTAACTGAAAGTAGAACGTTCCCATTTGTACATCGTCGCCGATTTTATACCAAGAGAAAATATAAGGAACATTCTGATTTCTACGTGTCCTAACCAAAGCAAAACATGTACTTTTACAACGGGTAATCAACGATCTGATTTTTTTTTATTCTGCATTATATAATTGGTTTCTTTGATCGATTCGTTTTTTTTTTACGGTTTAATCAACCCATTTTTTTTGAGGGGGGATAATGATTTAGTGATAGATGTCTTACTAATTAACCCATAGCTCGGGTAAGAGGTGAATGCATACCTTTCTCAAAAGGTATTTGCAAGCAGGTCAATATAACGAACCCAAAGGGAATTGGAACTCGGCTCTCCGATTAACAATTACAAGCTATTGTCAGTTACAACTCCCGCAAATCCAAGCTTATGGCACCTGATATTCTCAAGTGGTTACCCATCTAGGTACTGACCAGGCGCGACGTTGCTTAACTTCGGTGGTCGCACGAAAACCGGGGCTTCAGCGGGATACAACCGTAAGCGTGCTTAAACTTCTGGACGGATTCAAAAATAAATGAGTAATAATAGCTTATATCTCCGAAAAAATCCCTCCTCAAACGTAGACAGGGTAAACATATATTTTAAGCAAATTCAGACTGCCAACGTCATTAAAACGATGAAGATTTTCGTAAGTAAAGGGAGTCAACTCTGCATTTAAAAAGAAAGTCCTGGAAATAAAGAACCCAAAAAAAAAAAAAAAAAAAAATCTCACCTGCTGTGTGACTGCACTTCTTTTCTTCATGTTCTGGTCCTCGCTCTGGGTAAACTGAAAATATTTCTATAATCGCAACGGCCAATCTTCTTTTTGTGTTCGGCTATTGGTTGTTATAGTGATCAACATTAGGTATCAAGAAGGGCGATTCTTTTTTTTTTTCCAAAATGGCACATCGGAAGACAATTGTTCGAACAGATCAAAAAGGTCGCCATTAACCAAATTGCTCGAATGGATTAAGCAAAAGACGACTGATTAAAAGTAAGAAGAATTGCGCTTGTTGTTGTTGCTTTTGTTTCGAGGCAATAACTAAATGGAGGACTAATAACTTTCTTCACTGAACTTTCATTGCAACTGAACACGAAGAAAAAAAAAAAAAGAAGCAAACAATTTGTTCATATTCGTCTTGAGTGTTGTTTCATATAGAAGTTTCAAGGCAGACTCGAACAACGGGAAAAGTGAGGTTGACAAACAAAAAATTCGAAAGGATGCGGTTAAAAGAAAACATTACTAACAGCGTTAATTATCATTGCTTTGCGCCGACATCATCATCATTAATAAAAAGTAGTAGCAACCGTATTCCCTCGTCTTTTTTAGGACAGCTCTTAATGGTCAAACACACGTAGACTGGAATAGAGATTTACTTGACCCCCCACTGAGTCAGGTTGTGACACAAGGTCAGTTTTTAACGTGGGGACCCGAGTGTTATCACACTGGTCTAAGCTAGTCATAGCTGGTCCAAACTAGTCAGAGCCGGTCTAAGCTAGTCAGAGCCGTGATACCACCGGCACAGAGACAGAGCCCTGTGACCGGTAAGGATCCGAATATGTACACCCCTCCAAGGAAGAATTTTACGCTCCCCTGTAGTAGGGGTCTGCTTACAGTACCAGGTGTTCCATCATCTAAGTACTGACGTGGCTCCACATAGACTGAAATACCATAGCAACAAGATCCAACAAAAAATATGAATAATCCAAGACAGATATTTCTTCGTCACTAAAATATTGGTCGGAAGTTCGTATGCATAACAAATTGGGGGGAAAATGGAATCGTCGAGACAAAAAATTCCAGTTTGTGTTAACATTGCATGAATAGTTTGAGGGAAGGGCCCTACTAACATTAGTTATATTTAGTTTGTTTTGTGTTAATATTTTAGTTTGTTATTGGGTTCATCTCCCTCCCCTCTCATTTTATTTATCCATAATTTTTTTAAGTACAAATTTTATAATCATTAGATTTTTTATGGCATGGGGCGCGCTTTGTAGGACCCCCTTGAGAGTATTGCGGTATTATGGTGTATGGAGGATTGATTGGTGACGGACGAGTTTTTGTGGTGAATGGGCAAATTGTAATGCGTGAATGGGACGTGAATCGGATTAGCTAGGTATAAGAGAGTTAGTGACGATCAGCCTCAACCTCTCCCCATTTCGGCCTTGTGCCATAATTGTGTAATTTCACACAATAAATAACAATAGCTTTGGGGAAAGACTTGAATTCATATATTCTTTCCCTGATCCCCAGATAGGCATTAAATAGCAAAAATGATCTTTGGTTCACAAGCAGTGGGCACTTTGACGTAACGTGATGATTAGCAAGATTGTCTCGCTCGATCAGTTACAACTAAGTGGTGAGTTCGATCCTCACTGGTTACTCGATACTTTCGACCTCGGGTCATATCACAGCTACGCTTAGTAAATCGAAGGCACTTCGATGTAATGGTTAACAAGTTTGTCTCACTGGATCCATTACAAATGAGTAGTGAGTTCAATCCTCATTGAGTGTTCCATACTTTCGGACTACGCTTAGTAAATCGCTGCATTTTTTGAGTCTAAATGAGTGAGTAATTGTGTCAGTACCTGGTTTAATCTCAATTAATCCAGAATTTTTTTTCGACTTCTTAACTGATATCTCTACCACAAATAGACCGTAGATATTCACTTTACTAACAATCCTTTTCTTTAGTTTTGTACATATTCTTCATTGTAAATACACAGCGGAGAGATTTTAAATATACTTGTTAAAAGGACCCCCCACAAAGACTGCATACATGGGATTACTAGGCGTTCTTGGAGTAAATGTGGTATTATGGTGCCTATGGATGAATGTCATTTGTAAATGTGGTATTTTGGTGAAAGCAACAATATTTGTGAGGATTGGTCAGTGACTGAGGCTAACTAAGTTACAGTTAGGGCAAGGGAACACCAACATTATACCTTTCTCCCCAGTTTGCACTTGTAACATATTTGTACGAAAATTGTACATTAAATAGCCAAAACCAGTTAAGCAACATCGAGCCTGGTCAGTACCTAGATTGGTGACCGCTTTGGAATACCAGGTACTGTAAGTTTGGATGTACGGGTAGTGCAATGGATAATGGCTCGAATTTGAAATCGTATAATCGAGTTCGAATTTCAATCGGGTTCCTTATAGTCACTTACGAAAAAAAATCTTGGCAAATGTATGAATCTACCTCTTTTCCCCCAGATAAGGATTAATTAGTAAAACTTGTATCACTAAGCCATTATTATCTAAAACAAATAAAATAAAATAAATTTGCGTACAAAATATTTAGATTTCGGCGTTAAATAACCCATAGAGATGTTGATATGCCGCTAAACAAAAACAAACAACATTTTGTTTGGCCGTCTTTTCGATTAGAAAACTTCATTTAAATTTTAAAATATCATCCATCATTGATGATTTTCTATTCTTTCTATTACATCGACCACATTTGGAATCATAGTGCCATTGTGAATACCACGAGCCATTCATTGGTTGCATAGTATGTTTTTCGTCAGTTTTGAGTTTAGAGATTACCATTCTAGACCGGATGATAACTACGACTAAGGAGGAGTCCAGTCTGCCTTGATATTTAGAAGATTGGGATTGGAAATCGGATAACAGAGCCCGAATTCCAATCTGGTTCGTTGTATTTACTTAGGAGCAAATACCATTGACAAATGTATGAATCCACCTTGTTTCCCTTAGATATGGTTTAATTAGTAAGATTTGTATCAGTAAATCATTATTATTGTACATTAAATAACCACAACCAGTTAAGCAACAGTTAGCTTGGCTAGTACCTAGATTGCTGACCGCTTATGAATACCAGGTACTGTAAGCTTGGATATACGGGTGGTGAAATAGATAATGGCTCGAATTTGAAATCGGATAATCGAGTTCCCAATTGGGTTCGTACCGTCACTTACGCGCAAAAAAATAAATGTAGGAATCTACCTCTTTTTTTCCTCAGATATGGGTTAATTAGTAAGATTTGTATCAGTAAATCATTATTATCTTCAACAAAATTCTTACAGTCTAAAAATATTTTTTGGCTCTAAATAAACTTTAAATAAACTATAAATAAAAGGTTTATAAACCATGAGAAACAAACCAATCAATTAATTGTATTGGAAAGTGCGGATGGTGTAACGGAATGAGCAATCAAAAAGGTGAATTAGAATCCCACACGGCTTCGTGACATTCTCTCATGTGTGAATACTCTTGGAAAAAGTATGAATCTCTTCCACCTATGGGTTAAACAGTGAGATTTGATTCTGGGAAAAAACATTGTTGTTCTCCAAAAATTATTAATGTAATATCCACTATTAAAAAAAAAGGAATTTGCCTTACAAATTCAAAATATATTTCGCCTTTAAATAAGCTAAACTACAAATAGTTGATAAGCCGTAAAAATCAAATCAGTCAGTCATCGGCTTCACATCACATCGCTTTTACGAAAGGCTTATATTAAGATTCTATTTGCTATTCGAAAGGACGTAAGACAAGGAAGTAATTACCTTTAATTTACGTGGGAAAACTTTTTTGAGCGTTCTCTTACCCAAAATAGACTTCTCGGTGTCCGTCGTATTCTTTGGTTGAGACTGAACTACAATCAAGATCGTAGAGTTCACATAATTGCGAACTTCATGGCTGTATAGTACGTGCCTAGAAACCGGGTTTGAATACAGTGTTGTTGTTCTCCTAGACTGATTGCCAACCACGGATAACATAATGTGCCCTGCTATTTAATTCGTATCTGCGAGTAGAAGAGTTTTGTGATGTCAACAAAAACTCGTTGCCAATTTTGTAATGTTAACGAACACTCGTTGTCCCTTTCGTAATGCTCGTTGTAGTAGAGACTTTGTAATCGCAGATACAACTTATTACAGTAACAATACTGGTGTCAGACGCCTTCGAATAACACTCGCACTAATAGTACTTGCACGATAATACTCGCTCGAACAGTAGCCACCGAATAGTGATCCAAGTAGAGAAAATGTAGAGTGAATAAAGAATAGCGGTCCGTATAGCGATAGAATAGAAATATATTTATTTTGTAAAAAATACAAAACTGTAGCAGAAGGCCGAAGGGGAAGTGGGGAAAAGGCTGGTCTTTCACTAGATATCCTATTCCTAGTTAACCACAATCATGACCCATTCATTCATTACAATTACACATTCACCACAAGAACTTATCCATCACCTTTCAATCCTGCACACACCACAATGCCACATATGCACAAGTTTGTCATGAACGGAACATGTGAGCAACGAGGAAGGTTGGGAGAAGATGAAAACAAAAATGAAAATTATATTTAACACCAGAAAGACACTGTTGCAGTTTCTAGGACATGATGAGGAAAGAAAACTTCTAAAATTTGACACTCACAGGGCATATTGAAGGAAAAAGTGACCGAGGAAAGCAATGTACAACCTATTTAACAGGTTTGTATAAATTGTTGACAGAACAAGAATTATGGGTGATAACAAAAGGTACAAAGGACAGAAAATTGTCGAGAGAATGATCGCCCACTTCTGGATTTTTCTAGAAATTTCTGGAATATTCTCGGTACACCAAATAGGTATTAACGCAGATAACACAACCATTTACTCTTGTCTTAGTATCAAATTCGACAAATTTGACCAAGTAAACTTGGCAGTCGCTATTGAAAACTATCACCAATCAATGGTTAAATGGGGCAAATAATGGCATGTAAATTTGAACGGCTCCAAAACAAAACTGCTTTCATTTAACCACCATAGAGAACCTTTTCTGTCTGTCATCAGCATGGCCACGCCAGACTCCAAGATTTTTTTTCTCGTCATAGTCCATCTTGCACATTTACACATCTACCATTCGTCTGTGAATTAAATACTGTTGCCATATTTGGGTTGGTGTTCCTGCTATTCATCTCGAGGTTCTTGACAAAAATCCAAAGAAGAATCAACAATGTAATCAATCCTGACTTGTCATCTCGTTTTCAGTCACTTTCTCCCTTTGATTATCTAATTGTACTTCATTCACACGTATGTAAATTTGTGTGTGACATTATGCATTTGCAGAGTTAAGTATAAGTGCAAATGTGTGAAAAAATGTTAAAATGTGTATGTATGTGAATGTGTGTGAATTTGTGTATAAGTATTTTATTTGAATTTTTAAACTCAGACGACAAGGTCTGTATGTTTACTTTTTTTTCTTGTATTTTTCAAATTTCCGAATAAATTGTTGTACATCCAATTGGATAAACTGTATAAAGTTCATGTTTCAGTATTGTATTTTTTCTTGGGTAATTTCCATCTAAATTATTTTCAAGAACCGAATGTTGTCATTATGTTAGACAAGATTTTGTTGACTAAATATTAAACAAACATATCCTGTCGGCTGAGTTATAAAAAAACTGTTTAAATGAATTCTTGCTGACTAAATTCACATCACTTGAAGACTTTCAAAAGCAACAACATTTAAAATGGATATCGCATGCAACTCAAAGAGAAAATAATGACATGATGAAGATGTTCCACACAACTTCAAACAAAAGGTTAGGAAGGAAACCCACATCAATACTGGAAAGAGCGATAACAGCTACTGAACTTGTGAAACAAAAATAATTTTAAGATAAAATTTTATAAATTTCAGCTGATAGCAGCACTGGCTGCTGGGTCAGTGAATGCTAAATGTTTCCTAATATTATTGTTATATACTGTACCTATGAACACTAATGTTTATGTCCCAATCCTCATAAATACGTTGGGGATAATATGCTGTCTAAGTAGTTCACCACTAGCAGTGGTTTACCTACTTCACGCCGCTGGCGAGTATTGTATTTTGTTAATGTTATAAAGTTTACCATTTCATTTTCAACCTCCATTTTGTTTATTCCTCATTCAGTAACCCTTCACAGGTTACAACAGTTATGAAAAAACTGCAGATAGATAGATAGATAGATAGATAGATAGATAGATAGATAGATATTGTTATATACCGTACCGATGAACACTAATGGGTACGTCCCAATCCTCATAAATACGTTGGACACTATTGTAAGTGAAAGTAATATACTGTCTAAGTATCCACCCCTAGCAGTGGTTTACCTACTTCACGCCGCTGGCGAGTATTGTATTTTGTTGATGTTATAAAGATTACCATTTCATTTCCAACCTCCGTTTTGGTTATTCCTCATTAAGTAACCTTACTAGGTTACAACAATTACCATCCCCAAATATAATTTATTTAAGCGTGTTTATATCTACGTGCCTTGTGTCATATTTTATATGTAATATTTTTAATCAATATGACTATATTGTACCAATAAAAGCCTTGATATGAGTTAGATGCGTTTTTATACTCATACTCATCCAATACAAGGCTCCTAAGCCACTCAAGTTAGAATATTACTGTTTTAATGGTTATGACGAGTGAAATATATGAGGGAAGGCGGTTTTGATAAGATAGATAACGATTGATACATGAAGAGTTTAAGACAGTAGCATTAACAGTTCTTGGAGGGAAAAAACTGAGTGAAACGTTCTCGTTATATGGAGGGGCAATGAAGGTGAGTCGTCTCCGAGGACGTGGCATAGCTGGTGGGAATAAAGAATGGAGCTCATCTGAACATTTGCTATGGAAATTGTGGTTGAATAGCAACAGGCTCGAGACTTTGTGCTCGTGGGAAATAGATTGCAAAGCGGAGACTAGGTCTCCACACTCATAAGACAGCGTAAACGATTTTGAATTCTATCAGAGCTGGAAAGTGAGGATTGTGCAGCTCCAGCCCAAATATTGTGGCAGTACGGAAAGCCGAATTCGAATTCTAGTTGAATCCATTACATTCACTTACGTGCTAATATCCTTCGGAAAAGGTATGAATCCTTTTCTTCTATGGGTAAATAGCAGGACAGACCGGGTTCAACCTATCTCTTGTCATTTCGTATATATCCTTTCTTTTTTTTTGTAAAAATGTGTAGTGTAAAGAAAGACATTAATCCTAGATTTACAATAAATGCTACTTATTTTACGCAGCTTTCATTAGACAAAATTTCAGATATTCACTCTATTTCTGTTGATATTGCAAGCTAGGAAAACAAAATATACGGACACAGCTGTCTCGACTGTCTACAGTTCTTCACGTCCAACAGAGAAGCCAAAGAATTAACAGGCCTTACGAAAACGGAAAGAGTTATTTTTTTCCGGCAAGACACACACTGCAGATTATGAAAGAAAAAGAATCTGCTTACAAAACACCCACTGGTTGTGAAAAAGAATTAAATTGGAAAGTTCAAGTCACCACTTGATACACCGATTATAAGGGAAAATATATCCATACTGTTGTCTGCACTTATCATTCCCAGTATTAAAAGAAACGATTTAATCGCATGTCGACATAAAAAAAATGAAAGAAGTGATCGAGTTTCTGTGTTTTAATTATTGATATATTTAAAACTGCAAAGTTCACAGCTAGGAAAAACTATTCCTATTCTAAAATCATAGCTGTTTATTTATTCATAAACTCACTACGACAACTCTCATTTCGAGTGAGAATTTCCTGAATTGGCTGTTTCAGTCGCCGCCTTTACGGTTGTTGTCGGAAAATCTCTGCGTCCGATTAACTGCTGCGCCTGCGCGTTAATCCTCTTATGATGTGGATCTGTCCTGATTTTTACTTTAAACGACTGCTGTTCTGGAAACCTCAGCATTAATTACACTTCTCACTATTCCCAGCTAAGATTCACAAAACATGCCAGCCAATTTTGCATGGGTTCTAATTGCGTTGCTATAGCAGCCGACAGATTGCTACATATTAAATTGAATTTAATTACTTTACTCGTTTGTAATGTAATATTTTGAAAAATATCTTTTTTAATGTAAATAATATTATAAACTGTTTTAGTTTGCATAAGAGACACGTTACAAGTTGAATATTGATTAACTGCTACTAATGCTTCAGATACAAGTGTTTAAAAAATGACTGTTCAGAACATGTTTTATGCTCGATTATAATTAACATCCACAGCGCATAGGGAGGAGTGGGGTCTTAATAACTCTAACTTTTGTTCGAGCTGGGAACTAAACTGAAAACTAATTTTGTCTTCTTGGCCTCAGTCTATAAGAATGCTTATTGGGCTGGGCCGTAGCATTTGTTGTAAATCGTTACTGCCATTATTTTCAAGATGAATAATAATGCTTCACTTTTTTTTACTAATTTATTGATTTATTTATTTGTGAACGTTTGCTCCTAAAACTTTTATATGTTTGTATCAGCTTCATTATTTTTTTTTATTTCCTTGGATTTTTGTTCTATACTCATTTCTTTCCGGGTCCCAACCAGAGACCTAATGTCAGAAATGGATTCATGACATTTTCCACTGATCACACACATTTTGCATAGATAAAGCTCCTCGTAATGTGTGAGCTGTACTTATGAGTACAATTTTTTTTGTACTTCTTTAAGGCATGGGCTACCAGGAATCCCTTCAGTGAATCGATCAGAACATTTTCCAATCGATCCGAGGGCTCCAACTACAACTGGAATTATTGATGTCCTCACGTGCCACTTTTTTCTTTAGATTCCCACTTCAATATTATTATTATTATTTATCCCATGACTGGATGTGATCGTAGGCTCGTTGCGCCGCTAAGGACTTGACTAGCTTCCACCATGTGGCTCGGTTGTGTGCCAGTATCTGAATTTCTGTGAATGATGGTCTAGTCTTTTTTTTCATACCTGAGACTTATATACAGAAAAATTCTATAGGTTTCATCCCAGAATATAAGTACAAACAAACAAAAAAAAATGTATTTAAAATCAAAAGAAAAAAATAAATGTTTACATTCGGATAACAGATGTAAAAAAAAAATGGTTCATTTTTATGAAAGGGTCAGATTAAAAAAATAATATAAAAACAGGAATCTTTAATAAAACTTAACAGATGACTTAGCCCAAGCCCGAATTTTTAGTTTTATTTTGTGGTGACGTGCTTGCTTTGCATGGATTTCTAACGTCTTTTTGTAATAGGTAACTCTTAGCCTGGAGGGTGTAACAAATTCATAGTCCGAAACTTAAAACTTAATAAATATTCTAAAATTTCAAAAGGTTTCAGCTTATATTTGACTTACTCATCTAGAGTCGCTTTTAAAATCACATTTTTAAAAACAAAATGGTCTTGGCATTTCCTTAGACTTGTTTCTTGGATTTATCTAAGTGTTCCTCAAAACGGCCAAGTCCTTTGAACGGAACTCGCCTTTCGAAAAAAGGACAACCCGAATACCAAAACCACTTTTTTTACGGGATGCTCGGTGATTTTATCGAGACATGTTGAGAATATAATGAACAGAGAATGTAAAAAATGAGGAAGTTCTTAGGAAAAAAAAAACTACGTCGAGACTGCTCATAACAACCGGAGAGAGAGAGAGAGAGAGAGAGAGAGAGAGAGAGAGAAAGAGAGAGAGTTGACATATTTGGGAAAGGAGACTTGGAGAATTTAATACTTATATCGAAAGCAAGAGAAGCAAAGAAATGCAGCAAAGTCACCTTATTTAACAAGTTTTAGCAAATAGGTGATTTAGTAAACGTAGCTTATATGTGGCACAAGGCTGAAAGTTTGGAGCACCCAATGAGGATCAAACTCACTACTCAGTCATAATTGATATCGTGAGACAACCTTTCTAACCACATTAAAAGTACCCAGCTTTACCAAATGGGTGAAGTAACAAATATTTCAAAGAGAAAATATTATTGAGGAAAACATGTGGTAAGCCATGATTTCCTACCTTCTAAAGGGCTACGATACATAGAGAAAGAAAAACTAAATAACGGTCGGCATTCTCAAAGAAGATAGTATTAAGAGTACAGGAATGTCTTGAAATCCAAACTCAAAGCGTGCAACTATCCCAATGGTGATAAGACGAAATCGTTCAGGTAAAGATTTGCCACACTGGTGTGCGGTACTTTGAACGTCACCCCATCGACCGGTTTCAAGAACGCCGAAAAGCCAGCGATGCAAACGCTCAGGGTCGACCACAAACATGTCGTGACTTCATCTGTTCGGACTTCCATTGATACCATTCTCAGATAGGACTGCTCAGCCACTGTCAGAGCCACAACCGCCATCATCATTGAATTTGAAGTAAGCAGACACACACACACACACACACACACACACACACACACACACACAGAGAGAGAGAGAGAGAGAGAGAGAGAGAGAGAGAGAGAGAATCCGTAGAACCCGATGTCCCAATCTATAATCATATAGGTAGACACATTAAGATTGGGACCTCTTATCGTGAGGTAATGGTTAACAAGGCCATTAATACTTTTTTTTTTATTAAGTTGATACTCAGTGGGTGCTCGATATTTGTAGCCTTTTACCCAACTGAAAAAAACGATATATACTAAGCGTAGTTTACAATTAAAGGACAACTAGTTAGACTCAAACTCACTTCATAACCATCGTACTACAGCAGGTATTTACTGAGATAGTTTGACACAAGGCCGCAGTAATGGAACTCCCACTGCGAACTGAGCACGGATCATTGAGGATGATTGGCTGGAAGATTAAGAGTGAATATTTTTACCATACAAGCCTTGACATATTAGCAATCAGTTAATCTTAGGTGTTAGGATTAGGCTTTAGTATTTTATATATTAAGTTATTTTTAGACACCAAGCTTTTAATTTGTCGTTTGTCTGTAAATCTGCAAATGTTAAGTCTTTGTTTTGCATAATTTTTTTTTTTTTTTCACTCAACTTTCTCTATCACTTTCAGTACAATTCTTTCTTCACCCCCTCTTTCGTCCAAAAACTCTCTTTTTTAGTGCCATTTCCTCTACATTCCTCTCTTTCTCTCTCTCTCTTCACTCCACTCTCTCTTTCCAACACTATCTTTTCAGTACGATTCCCTCTTCACCCAACTCTCTCTTCTCAACACTCTCTCTCTCTCTCTCTTTCCAGTACGATTTTCTCTTCACCCCACTCTCTCCTCCCAACGCACTCTCTCTTTTCAGTACGATTTACTCTTCACCCCACTCTCTCTTCCCAACACTCTCTCTTTTTAGCATGATTCTCTCTTCCCAACACACTCTCTCTCTCTCTTTCCAGTACGATTCTCTCTTCACCCCACTCTCTCTTCCCAACACTCTCTCTCTCTTTCCAGTACGATTTTCTCTTCACCCCACTCTCTCCTCCCAACGCACTCTCTCTTTTCAGCACGATTTACTCTTCACCCCACTCTCTCTTCCCAACACTCTCTCTCTTTCCAGTACGATTCTCTCTTCACTCCACTCTCTCTTCCCAACACTCCCTATCTTTTTAGCATGATTCTCTGTTCACCCCACTCTCTCTTCCCAGCACACACTCTCTTTTCAGTACGATTTTCTCTTCACCCCACTCTCTCTTCCCAACACTCTATCTTTTTAGCATGATTCTCTCTTCACCCTACTCTCTCTTCCCAACACCCTCTCTCTCTCTCTCTCTTTTCAGTACGATTTACTCTTCACCACACTCTCTTTTCCCAACACTATCTTTTCAGTACGATTCTCTCTTCACTCCAATCTCTCTTCACAACACTCTTTTTAGCATGATTCTCTCTTCACCCCACTCTCTCTTCCCAACACCCTCTCTCTCTCTTTCCAGTACGATTCTCTCTTCACCCCACTCTCTCTTCCTAACACTCTCTATCTTTTTAGCACGATTCTCCCTTCACCCAACATTTATTTTTAGTACAATTCTCTTTTCATTCCCCTCTCTCTTTCCAACACACGTCATCCTTTTAATGCAATTCTCTCTTCACCCCACCCTTTCTTCCCAACTCTCTCTGTTTCTTTTAGAACTATTCTCTTTTTACCCCTCTTCCCTTCTCACTCTATTCTCAACTCTCTCTGATGATTCTTTTAGTACAATTCTCTCTTTATCCCTCCACTCTCACTTTCCAGCTCTCTCTATTTTAGTACAATTTTCTCATCATATCAACCTCTCACTCTCTCTTTCTTCCTATATCTCTGCATCTCGTCATTCCTCCTCTCTCTCTCTTCTCAAATCTCTCTTTTACTATGATTCTCTCTTACTCTATCTCTCTCTCTCTTTTTATTGCAAAGTTCACGTGTCATGTTTAGAACAGGGTCAGATTAAAAATGATCATGACAAGGATTTGTTAGAAATGTTATGCTCGTATCTCCTGTACCACGTTGTAGAATTTCGATCGATACGTTTTCTGATCATTATCAGGTGACCGATAGATATTCAATAATCGGAGTAAAAAATATCTAATATTGTCTTTCTGATTGTACATGTATTTTTATTATCGTTAAGCATTTCTTATAAAAATGGTATTGTTAAAATATGTTTAAAAATGAAAAGAAAAATATTGCATACTATATATCTAGTTTTATGACTAACAAAATATACACTGGAGATCACACACACACACACACACACACACAGACACAGACACACACACACATACATATATATATATATATATATATATATATATATATATATATATATGATCCGATATATATGTATAACCCAAACATATCAGCAGAATATTACTCCCCAGTTATTAGAAGTTTCACGTAATGAAGAAATCCTTAGACGGCTCAGAAAATATATTTTTGTCTGAAACTTCCAGTCATAGTAAAGCAATTTTTTTCATGCTTCTTTTTTCTTTTTTTTTTTTAACCATTTCATCCCAAGAAAGGCGATAATTCCACTAAGACGCAAGGAGCTACTGGGAGTGAAACTGAATGAGAAGAAGAAACCGGAAACCCAATCCTAAACAGGAAACAACAGATAAACCTCTACTTCTGTTGAAAAGAGAAGGAGAATATATATATATATATATATATATATATATATATATATATATATATATATATATATAAATATATAAAGTATTTTTTTAAAATGATTATAAACGAAACGTACATCTACTTAAGACATAAAACGCTTCAGGGCTTAGACGAGAAAGATTCAATAAGAAAACTACCCTAGGCTAGAGCAGGTAACAATCCAAAAATATTAACTATTTAATATTATATATAAAATATATATATATCAAAATATAAAAGAAGATATGACAAAAGGACAACGTGTTCCACTTCATGAGGAACTTTATCAAAGCAAGTGGGGGAAATTCTATTTAGTAATCTGTTTCACGTCATCGTCGGCGGCGACACTTGCTCCATTCCGAACATCGAGATCGTCATCCTCTTTCCCTGTTCAATTTCTCCCCTCCTCTGGTGGTAGTGGAGGAGATGGCTTTTGACGAGGTACCAGATCTCGCCTGTTTCAGTCCCCATTGAGCCGCGAGGAAGGCGCTGCTGGGCCAAGTGTGTGGTCTTCTCCGTCGCACAGAGTTGTCCACCAAAATCAAATTCACGCGAATCGCCTCGTCAAACTTTCTTTGATCCTCAACCATCTCCGCCTCTGCCACCAGGAGAGAGAACGGGAATAGCAAAAGAACATGGCGATCCCGATGATCGAGTAAGAGCGGGTGCTGGCAACAATGAAATTAATTTTTATGTATTTTTATTTTATTTCATATTATTTACTTATTCTTATAAAGCTCGTGAGGTAACAGTTTCCATTTTAATTTTTTAAAAAGTTTTTATTATCACTCATAAATATGTTGGTTTGAGAAAGAGGCATTTCTTTTAAGGCGAAATCTGAAAACAGCCAGGGTGAAAATTAATGTTTTGGCAAAAGTCAATCATTGCACTTTCAAGAACTTTTCGTCTAAGTTATTTTCTCTCTTAATAAGTCCAGCATTTAAAATTGTGGTTGAAGCTATTTCTGTGTCTAACTAATGTGTTGGATAAATTGTTATGCAGGAGATTTTTCTTATGATTATAAATAGGCTTTCCTTTAATCTCTGTAAAATTCACCAATATATTATAAAGAACAGTTTATCTTAAATATATCTGCTTCAAAATGATTGTTATTGTGGACGTCTTGTTTCTGATCATTTCCATGATATTTTTCAATGAATTTTTCTTGTCTAGTTCTTATTTAGTACTGATCAATTATTGCCCGCCCCGTTTACATTAAATTCAAGTACACAGTAGCATCCCAGGGATTAAACGTCTGGGTAGGACGATAAACTACATCCGGCAGTAAGGCCTCTTGTCGGGAGGTTTTGAGGAGCGTGGAACCACTTTTTAATTGCCGTTGTTCCCAGGTCCACCCTTTCCTGGGTTGGTAGCACCTGCTAAGGCAAATAGTTAACCCCCAAAAACTGGGGTCTAAACACTATGAAAATATAAAAATAGATTTTTATAGGGAAAATACCAGCAATAATTTTTTTTAAAGTATTACCAGCAATAAATTTTTGAAAAAAATTATTACCAGCAATACATTTGACTCTGGACAAAAATCCTCTTTACAAAAATACGACAATGAAACCTTATCTACAAACTGATTTCTTACAAATACATATTCTATTCATACGGATCTATCCTTAAAATCTTGTGGTTATTAAATAACCCATTGCGCTTGATATGCCGTGTAAAAAAAAAAAAAAAAACAGGAATTGAACTCACAATGACTATGTCACTAAATCATTGAGCAGTACTAAATAAGAACAAAACGGGATATCTCCCTGGATATGGACAGGGGAATGAAAATAATCCCCCGCCTCTTTATATTAAATAAAGGGTTAAATTAGCTGAAAATTAAACGGGTCGACAATAATCTACATGTAAATAATAACTCGTCATCGCAGAAATTCAGACAAAAACCAAAGGATTTATTTCATGGCACATATAATTAAATCCGGGCATTACAATTTTTTCGAACGAGATTTTTAATTACCTTTTAGTTGTGACCATTCTTTGTTACCATTTACTATATCCAGCTCTCTATGGCCCAAGGAAAAGAAACCACCTTTCAGTTTAACGTATACAATCAGTTCGTTGATGGTAAAGTCACCTTTGCGAGACAAAAGTATACTAAAATGTCATTAATTTATAGGAACAGGCAGTAATAATAGACTTATGCCATAATATAATGTCATTGTATATCGCCCTGTCTTAATGTATACAAATAAAAATGAATAAATCAAGTCGCATTTTGATTCACTGACATTTAGAAATACGGACTAGAATAACACCAGCGATAATCGTCAAAAATCTTGCAAGTAATTTATCTTTGACTTGCCATCTTTCTCGTGAGAGAATTTAACGGAATTGTTTCTGACTTACCTGTTCTGAATATGTTCTGACTTACCTGTTCTAAATATAAAAGGACAAATAAACGCCTATGGTACTATAGTGTACCACAAGGTGAAATTGGAGATCTGTTGTGTGAGAAGATTGTGCTGCGCGAATCTTACAAGAGCGGGGTGGCTGCCTGCCTTGAAAAGCAGCGAGGGAAAACATACCAATTATTGTTCCAGGAAGAAGTGAGTTTAAATCTGACTCGCCAAGCAGACAAGCTTAGTAGGTTATAAGGAGTCATAGGAGGGTGTAGGTTTTGCAGTAGTGAGGGGACTCTTTGCCTTGAAAATCAGCATTCAAAATCATGCGTCTTACTTGAGTTTGAACGCGGGTCGCATTTGAAATAGACTTCGCAGCATTTGTTTATGATTCTATGTACAGGTTTTTTCCCAAAACTTATGAAAAACGTAGGATGTTACGCAGCATCACATGTAGTTATTATAGTCCTGGGTATAACGATAAACTAAATCCGGCAGCAAAGCCTCCGATCGGGAAATTAGAGATTCTGAAGAGCGTGGAACTAGCTCTTAATTGCTGTTGTTCCCATATATGTAAGATGGTGACTATCGTTCGCCAGGTATATCAGAAGATGACTGTCGATCGTCAGGTATATTCGAAGGTGACTATCGTTCGCCAGATATATAAGGTGGTGACTGTCGCCCGCCAGGTATATCGGAAGATGACTATATATAGGTACCTCCACGAGATCGCTAAAAAAAGAGCATAGCATGATGAAAAAGACGCCAAACTTGACGAAAACAAAATTTTATCGTCTAAATGTTTGTTATTATTAAGAGGAAAGGTCAAAGTATTTTTGGATATTTTTTCCATTTTTAATCGTTCCTAGCACGTCCGAAATTTTCGTTAAAAATCTAGTTTTTTTTTTGAGTCAGCAAAATTGACCATTTTTTTTCCATTTTAAAAAACTGGAAATCTGACTTTAAAATTTTTTAAATATCAATTATCATTTTCCAAAACTTATTTTAAGAAAATGAGAAATTATGTTTATTTAAAATATTTTGAACCAAACTTAACTTAGCTTTTGTGCCAAAAAGATGCAATTTGAAAATAAAACAAAGCAGGTCATAAACTTTCGCGTCTCTTGACATGTGATGAATGATATATTTACGAATTCTATGAGGCTAATTTGTTCTACGGAAGGAGAAAAGTGAAATAATTTACATTTACGTGAACAAATTATTTACCCCGTTATTTTTAACGAAAACTTTCAGCGGTCTAATTTTTTTTTTTTTTTTTACTTAGCTTTCACCTTTACGTTTATGATGCTTTATGGGAAATATATTGTAAAGAAATTAAAATAAAACTGTTAAGAGTGACATTAAATTTCATATTTCTTAAGAAAGGTATCTAATTAATTTATAGGTACCTTTCTTATGAAATTTTACCAGAATTGTACATAAAATACTATAATTTTATGTACATTTATTACATTCTACTGTTATTTGTATTTGCATTCATTTTATTATTAATTTTGATATTTCATTTATGGAAAAATGTAACTGAGATTAATATAAAAATAAGATCATATAAATTTCATAAGATGATACTGATACTTGTAGGTACCCTTCTCAGTTGAAATTGAAAAATCAAATTAACTTCTCCACACGTGTTTCGCAAAAGTAAAGGCCTTAACAGCGGAGAACAATGCTTAACTCAAATAACGCAACTTAATTATATTCTGGTTGGTCTTCCGTATTTTATAATTACAGCTCGATTATAAGCACAAAATTACATTTCTTATTTACTGGGGATCTTCCGATTACTCAAAATGATACAATTTACAACGCGCTAAAAAAAGATCTATCTCATAAGGACACTTATGAAAGCCGATGCGGCTTTTAACTAATTTTATAATATTTTAACAACTTAAATGTAAAATCTATTATAATTAATGAAATAACAAATAATTGTATTAAAAATTCATTTTTCATCGAAAAAATTTTTTTGCTTTCAGAAAATATTGTCCATATTCATAAAAACAACTAAAAGCAAA